TAGTTTTAGTGGGATTTTCAATAAACAACGCAAATTTAAAACATTTTGTCTTATAATTTGTGCCCAGCAGTATTATGCTGTTATATACACTTTTATCCATTTTTTTATTCGTTGTAACAAATGATCTAAAAACTGTTATTTTTTCAGTAGCCTTTTGTGTAATCTTTTACATTTTTTACACAGTTTTTACTTATCAAATACAGTTTTAAAAAATGCATATTTTATTTGTAGTAATTCATAATGAGAATTTTAATTTGTTTTTTGGTTTGGTTTGGTTTGATTTGGTTTGTTTTACAGTATATCAACCTCAATGGGTTATTTAATGCCAAAAAATTTTTATTGCTGGTAATATTTTGTTTTGTCAAAAATCTGTTTCTGGTAATATTTTTCCTTCAAAAATGTATTGCTTGTAATATTTTTTTTTCCAAAACATCGTTGGTAATATTTTTTTTTCTTTCAAAAATTTATTGCTGGTAATAATTTTTTACAAAGTATTTCTGGTTATTAAAACCTATTTTTATACTTTCATAGTGTTTTTACCCCAGTTTCGGGGTTAATTATTTGCCTATAGGTGGGACCCTAACAGGTGCTACCATCCCGGGACAGGGTGGACCTAGGAACACTAGCAATTAAGAGGTAGTTCCACGCTCCTCAAAACCTCCTGATTAAAGGCCTTGCTGCCGGACGTAGTTTATCGTCTTACGCAGGACAGGATTTCTAGTTTGGATATATTTTCCATTCAATGTATCTAATACGAAAGATATTAACTTTATTTCGATTTATTCTTGAAATAGTAAAATCTGAAGTCAGTTTGTAAGAAAAAAACTATGGAAATTAAGTATTTCTGAATTAATTGGGAAGGTTGTACTGACACAAAGTCTCAAGTCACCGTGACCGATGGTTTGAATGTGCTGGCCTTGTTCGGAATGCTGATCACATCAGATAATGCGTTTTTCCCCCAGAAACTGTAACCAAGCTCCGCTCAGCCTAGTTGCAGTAAAGACCACACATATGTGCCTGAACAGGCGTCTGCAACAGGGATTGGCTCGCCGCTATGATAGACAGACATGCATAGATAAGATTGACCAGGTATTATATTATAGAATTAAATGAATGACGAGATCCGGCCGATTTCACTTTCTATGCAGGCAAATGTTACTTTGTAAGTACAGCCAAACACGCATTTCTTTTTCCTTTTCTTTTTATTTTATTTTATTTGTTAATCTCAGATACACACACTTATGTCTTCCTAGGCACAATCTTTTATTCGGCTAAAAATAAATGTAACTAATATTTACTAAGCATTAACTAGTATGACACAAGGTCACATTTGTAGCGCACACACTGTAATATCGTGCTAATCCTTATTACATGTCGAGGGAACACCAGCATAAAGATACTGAAATGGTCAGTGAAGCATAGCTCAAGGATGATACACGAGAAGACACTGAAAGGTTTTCGGTTCGACTAAGAAGACCTTAAAAATATCTGATGTTTGGTCAGATCTGGGGAAGTGGGTCAGGTCAGAATTTTACAGCACCTCTCACGGAAGCTCTGTATGCAACAGACTAACCTTTTGACAAGGTATCAATGAATATTTATATCGACGCCATTCGTATCGATTAAAGATTTATAACCGCCATCAGATGGACGGGATCGGTTCGAAAGTTTATACGCATGCGTGAAAATATGAAAAATTGATTACCGCCTGCTTCTTTTTACTAATATTTATTTCTCTATATTGTTCTTGAATATTCAAATAACGCCATATTTTTGTGTAGGCTATATTGTACTGAATGCTACGGTTTATCTAACTGCTGCTTTTTTCCTTTTTAATTTTTGTAAATCTAGATTTACAAAAAATAAAAAAAATAAAAAGATCTATCCTCCTCTACGGATGTGAGACGAACACTCCTGAGGCATAAAAAAAGGATTCAGGTGTTCTAGAACAAACGAAGCTGCTCCTCGTCTCAAAACTAATGATATATACAGAACAAGGCCAAATGTTTCGTCGGCCAACAGGAATCTCTCTTCGCCAATATTAAGCGTCGGAAGGTGACATGGTTTGGCCAAGTCACACGGTATAACACAGCCTCTGTAAGGCCGTCATGCCAGGCACTGTTGAAGGCGAACGAAAACGGAGACAGCGACGCAAAAAGCCGGCCAGAGAACAAAGACTGTTACTTCCAGCAGTCTATTCTGGAGAAGGTTGTCTGTTTTTCTGCGGTTAGGGCCCCCGACGACTGAAGCAGTCAAGGGACCCGTGATGATGACGATGTCCAAGTTCATAAAGCAAAGCTATGGCTGTTTGGTTTGGTTGTTTTTGTTTAGTGGCATATCAACACCTCTATGAGTTATTGAATCCCGAAGCCGCGCACCAAAAAAAAAAAACCACGATGTCGCTTAAGCCACGCATGCGCGATGGACACCAAAATTTTTGCCATGTTCATATTAGAATGATAATCATCATTGGATCCCAATTTGAAACAAATTCAAACTTGATTGTGACACTTTTTTAAGTCTGATTTTTTTCTGTATAATCTTTCATTTTAAGCAACTGTCCATTACTAGCTTTCTTAAATAAAGTGTTATTACGAATTTTATTTTTATTTTCCATTACGTACATGTAAATTTATTAAAAATATTGTTTCGTATTAATTTCGTAAAATTTGTATTGTATCATTACATTGCATAGAAACCTGTATGTTATGAATACTCAAGAGTGGTCTCCACTTGTTTTGTTACTCTCCTCTTTGAGAGAGCTATTTTTATTTACTGGGATTATAAAAGAACACTATACCCTGTATTCTCAGCTGAATAACGCTTTCTTAAAGCCTATACCTGTGTACTTTTGTCATTACACTTTGTTTGTACGAAGATGTTACTACATAGTATTGTTATATTATTTTTACTAATACACTAGCAGTAGAGCCCGGCGTTGCCCGGGGATGTAACAGTAAGAGATAGATCAAGTATCGACCATCATAAAGACTAAAAAATAAAATTGACAAAGATTATTGTTTAAGGTTGACGGACATGCATGTCTTAATTAGTTTGTTTGTTTTTTTACGAATTGGTCAAACCCAAACTCAAACAAAAACATTGTTTTCAATCATTATGAGTCTACCGATTGAATAGAATTTTATTATAAACAATTGTCTTGTAAATGGAATTTTTAAAGCATTCTGAATGTAAAAATAAAGAAAAAAAGTGTGCAAGACAATAAGAAACACTACCTGCCAAAAAAAAGTGAAGTTTTGTTGAAATCGGTTGAAAAATGTAGGAAATCCGATCCCATATATAAACGAACACACACACACACACACACACACACACACACACACACAAACTGGGTTTTATAAGTATAAATCTTCAATCTTCCGATCAGGGTACTTGCTGCCGGATGTAGTTTATCGTCAAACTCTGGACTTTCAAACCTACATTCATTTAGAGTGAATTTCTAAGAAGTGTAAATATTTGTAGTAGAATGGACGGATTGTCCCCTCAAAAACGATGGATGAAGGTTAAGTAAGTTATTTTATTTTTATTTTTTCTTTGTTTCTGACAATCTTACTTTCTCTCTTTCTAGCATCTATCGTCTACAGGTTCTTTCCTTTTTCTTATAATTTCCTTTCTTTCTTTTATTTTCTCTTTCGTTTACTAAGGTGCATACCACATAGACATAAATCTCATTTCCATTTTATACTATATTTAGTTTAAACAAATTTGACTTTCTTTCTTTCTTTCTTTCTTTCTTTCTTTCTACTTTTGTTCTGAATTATTTGTCCATTTTTTTTTTTTTTTTCTTTAATATTTCATTTCTTTTCTAATACTATCAATTTTTTCATTTTTTTTCTTTCTTTTCTTTCTTTTTTTCTACATCACTATCTGAATTATTTGTCCATTTTTTTTTCTTTCTTTTCTAATATTTCATTTCTTTCTTTATTTATTTATTTATTTCTTTCTTTTTTCTTTCTTTCTACTTTTTGTTCTGAATTATTCTTTTTTTTTTTTAATTTTTTTCTTTTTTTCTACCTACATTTAATTTTCTTTTCTTTCTTTCTTTCTTTTCTTTCTTCTGGATTTATTTATTTCTACTTTTTTCTGAATTTCTTTCTTTTTTTTTTTTTTTTACAATATTTTTCTTTTTCTTTCTTTCTTCTTTTTTCCTAGCTTTTTTTCTTTCTTTCTTTCTTCTTTTTGTCCTAGCTCTATCTCAAGGTTCATAATCTCATTTCCCTTTTTTTTTGCCAACCATTTTCACAACTTCATTTGCACAAACTGCTTTCTTCTGTCCCTCTTACCTCCTTGAGGCTTAAATTTTTCTAAACTTGTTTCCTCATTACTTACCCTACAAATGTCAAGTCACTTGCCATGAAGCAAATTATGTTTTCTTTTTGTTTCAAAACACATTTTTCTTCTATGTACCGTGTCCCACCAGAACGAAAGCGATCATGGCTCTCCACATTTTCTCATTCTTTGTAGCTCTTAATAAATATTGTCTTTATTTCATCTCTCCTGAACATTCCATTTCCTGAAGCTCTCTTGGTAGGTGATGCGTTGCCTTACTCGGTCACTTTTGCAGTCAATTCATCTTGCGAGTATCAAATTTTCCTAGCCCTCTTTCCTCATTATGTAACACAGAAATTTCCATACTGTCTTTCTGGTGTTAATATAAGTGTCCTTTTTGTAGCCATTTTCTCTAAAGATTCGTCGTTACTCAAATGTTCGGTTCATGGTAATCTCGGCGTCGTTCTGTAGAAACACACTTTCTGTTGCTTCAAAAAGTAACACAAAAAAATAGGTTATATCGCGTGTTTTTTCAATTGACGAAAGACAAACGAATGCGGTTCTTTGTTTGGCTTTTTGTAAAATGTCACGTCCTTCCCTTCAACGCCGACGATACGAAGGCGTGATGTCATATTTTAACAATAACGTCAGCACCCATTCAAAAAGAGCATGTTTCTTTGTCGTTAAAATTGGTTATTTCTTATGTATAC